GATGGCGACGGCCACGACGACGGCGGCGCGGACCGTCGCGCCCATGTCGGCCAGCATCATGCAGCAGTGTGGCCCTGGCCCGATGCTGGCCATCTCCACCACGGTAACGCCAGCCAGGGGCCCCGGCATGGCGCCAACGAGCCACGCCTTCCGCCTGCGGCACCGTCCTCGTCATATTCGCATCCGTCGTCGTCGTCGTCTTCCTCGTCATCATCATCGCTGGCATCGTCGTCGCCGTCGCCGTCGCCGTCGCCGCCGCCGCCGCCGTCGACGGCGTCGCCGTCGGCGTCGTCGTCGTCGTCGGAGTTGGCGTCGGTGTCGGCGTCGGCGTCGGCAATGCGATCGGGCTCGGGGTCGGCGTCGGCTCAGGAGGGAGGAGGGGGAGGGGGGGAGAATGACGGAGGATCTGGAAGGAGGAAGACGGACAAAGAGAGAGAGAGAGAGAGATATGAAGAAGAAGAAGAAGAAGAATAAGAAGAAGAAGAAGAAGAAGAGGAAGAACAATCACAATCATTATAATTCGCCGGCCCAACGGGCCAGAGGCGTGCTAAGTTCTCCAGTAACTGGTTCACAAGATTTCTAGTTCGCGCGCGCGGAGCGGCCCCTGGGGGCCCCCGGACGAAAAACACCCTGGCAACTGGCCGGGAGGAGCCCCCAGAGCGCTCCAAGGGAGGGCCATTTGTCGACACCCCTCACCAGGAGCGTGGCCTCCGAGGGGGGAGCCGCAATCGACTACCCTTCTGTCGGGCGTGTCCCCCTACAGGGGGATTTTCGACGACAAAATAAAAAATGCCCCCAAAATACCCCAAAAAGGTAAACAAATACCAAAAAAATAGTCCCCAGATTATTTTTTGACTATTTGGGGTATGTTTTATTTTTCGTCGAAAATCCTACTGCAGGGGGACGCGCCCGACTTAAGACTGCCCCCCCTCCCGCCCCAAGAGGCCCCCTGGAGCCCCCCCAACAGGCCCTGGGGGCCCCAAGAGAGTGAAAATGCGGTAGGCGTCCTTTGGCCTTGCCGCAAGCTCCCCGGCCTTTGGCCGGGGCGCGCGGGGTCAGCCTGCTCTGAGGCCGCCGTGGCAGATGGTTCTGCCTGCCGGCGCCTTACCAGAGCTTCAGTCCACCCATCCGCCCCCCTCGGAGGAAGGAGGGGCGCCGACGGGGCCGCCGCCTCCGCCGCCGCCGCCGAGAGGAGGGGGGAGGAAAGGGCCGCCCGCCGCCGCTGCCATCGCGACGTTGGCCGCGGACTGCAGCGCCGCGCCGTCAGCCTGAGGGCCATCAACGCTCACCCTGCGCGGGGGGGCCAGGGCCCCCCCGTAACGAGACACCGTCGGGACACCGCGCCAGGACACCAACGCGGCCGACCAGGGACCCCGCGCCCCGCCGGCCAGGGAGCCAGGGGGAGGAGGGGAAGACGGATGAGCTCCTTCCGAAGACGCTCTAGCACCGCCGGCCGCCGCCGGCCCGACTTCCGCGACGCCCCGCGGTAAAACTTCCGCCAGCGACCGCTGAGAATAATCCGCCGCTTCGTGCGCGAACGCTTCCAACCGCCACCGCCTCGGGGCGCTGGGGCCCCCCGTTCCGCTGCCTTGCAAAGCCTCCATGACCTGCAGGGCCAGCTGCGCCGCGGCGAGCTGCAACTGGGCCCGCCGGCGTGGGCTCGGGTCCGCGTGATAAGTAACCCAAGCAGACTTGGCCGTCACCCGAGGCTGAGCCCCCCACCACCCCTGGGGGACTGCCAGCGGCCCCTCCTCCAACGCCCTTCTGGCTTGGAGAAACCTCGGGCAGTCCGCCCAGAAATGGCGAGCAGAAGCCCTGTCAAACCCGCACCAAGGACACGCCGTTAATCGACCCTGCCCAGACCAACGGCGGGTCGGCGTCCACGCGGCCCCGGCCCGCCACACGGAAAGGCAGAAGCGCTTCCCCGGAGGAAGCCGGCGACGCCAGCTAGACCAGTCCGGGTGGCTCGAAGCTTCGATGTCCACCGCGCCCAGCATTTCCTCGTTGCGCCGCGCCCCAACCCTGCGCTCCAGCAGCAGGGAGGCCCGCGCGCAGACGCGAAGGACATGCTGGCCCCGGGGGCTCGACGCGTCGAACGCACCTCCAAGGTGGTGCACCCCCGCCCCTTCCGCCGCCACCCGGGCACGGCGGTCCAAGCCAACCCCTGGAACCACCCAGATGCCCTCCGGGAGGGGGCCGGGCAAGTCCGCCATGCGCAGCCCGAGCTTGCTACAATGGGTATCCAGAGCCACCTCGAGCATGCTCGACCACGGGAGGCCGCGCGCCGCCTGCAACGCCCGGCACGACAACGCCAGGCTGGGGTGGGTCATGATCCTGTCCGCCCAGAAGCGGCGGGCGCACCACCATGTCGATTTCTGCGCCGATATGGCTTTCATGCACTCCCTCGCCAGGGCCGCTGGCGGATGCTCCACGAAGGGGGCCGCCCACATGTACTTATTCAGTGCCCACTTCACGACCTGCTCCCGCAACTCGGCTCCGCCTGGGACGCACCGAGCGCGCCGGGCCGCGTCCACCACGGGATCCCAACCGTCCCTCGGCGGGGGCAAGTGCGGTCGGATCAGGCCGCTGGCTGAGCGATTATGCCCAGGTGCTCGGCGGCGCCAGACCCCGCCCACATCTGCCGCTTGCCGTCGTTCTCCGTCAAGCCGACCGCGGCGTCGAACTCCTGGGTGACCTGCAGCTGGGACTGGAGGTCCCCCAACGTGCTCGTCTTCAGTGACCGGTCGTCTACGTAGCTCCAGTGTCCAGCCCCGCAGGAGCCCACCAGCCCGCCCCGCGGCGCCAACACTAAAGAGAGCACACGGCAGCAAACCGGGTCACCCGCGGGCATCCCCCTCGCGGGGAAGAGGGGGTCGGCCATCTCCCCGGCCACGGCGCAAAAACGAGGCGCAGTCCAGCCAGCGACGAGAGAACACACCACGGGAGGGGGCACCCCCGCGCGCTCCAAGGCTTTTCTGGCAACCTCGTGGGGCACCCTATCGAAGGCTTTCATCAAATCAATTTCCGCCCCATATTGCCCCTCCGCCGACAACCAGGAGGCCGCCGACGCGACCGCGCCCGCCTCGCCGTAGGCTTCGGCCGGCCCAGGCGGGAGACACCGCAACAGCGTGGCGTGCCAAGCTCTGTACCAGACGCTGGCCACGCAAACCGGGCGGCTGTCCGAGGACCCCCGTTTGGGGATGCCCGCCACCCGGAAGGCGAACACACTTTCAGGGAAAACGCGCTCGCTCTCCGGGCGGCGCGCGCCCCCAGGCGGATCGCCCCGAGCAGAACCCACGTTGCCGCGCCGAGGCGGGGCATCCCTCCCAGGCTGGACGCCGCCAGCGCCGAAGGCCGCGCAGTCGGCCAGCCCTCCTGGCTGTTCGCCAGAGTGGTCTGCCTGGGCACGCCCAGGACGCGCCTCGACGCTAGCCTCGGCGGCCGCGACGAGCAGGTCGTGCAACTCGTCCACCAACCACGGGGCGTGCTCTACGAGCGCCCTCGCCTCGCTGACCTCCCAGCCGTCCAGGCCGGCCGAGCCCGCGAGGTTCGCCACCTGCTGCCGGAACGCCGCCCGGGACGGCGGTACCCACCTGCGGGGGGGAGGCGCCGCGGGCACGCCGGCGGCGTCCGCCAGCTCGGTCCACGCCTGCGCAAAGACGAGGGGGTTGCCCGTTTCCGCCGCCTCCCTCCCGAGCCCGGGCCCCGGGCCCCTCGGAGTGGCAGGGGCGACGCCTGGGCACCAGTGCCGCGCCCATTCCGTGCGCATGTCCGTCGCCGAAAAAGTCACGGGGGCAGGAGGTGGCTGAACCCGCTGGGCAGCCGCCTTGGCTGCGTCGGGACCCCACCGTTTAAAACGGCCCTTCCAAGCTTGAACAGCAGCCTTTTTCATTATCCCCTCCTCAGCCGTGATAGCGGCGCGGAGAATGTCCGCGGCGCCCCCGAGGCACGAGGGGATCGCAGGGAGGAGGCCGCTTCGGAACGCAGGCACCCATCTCTTGAGAAGGGCCCCTGGGGTTGGGGCTTGGCCGGGGGGCACCCCCTCGCCGTTAGCTTCCGCCGACTTCCACGACTCCTCCAAGATCCGCTGCAAGCGGCATAACCTGCGGTATCGCATCGTTTCTGGCCCCCTCCTCGACGCCGTCGGCGCGACGGGCCGCTGCTCCGGCAACGAGCCCTTGTCGCGCTCCCGGCCGCGAACAATTTCCGCGAGCCCCAGGCGACACGCTTCCCGCATCAAAGCCTCGGCACGCACATGCCATCGTTCAATCGCCTCCCTGGGTGGGAGGAGCCGGTCGTCCTGCGTAGCTTCCGCCACAAGCCGTAACTGCCGAGCCTGGTCCGTCGCAGGGGGGGGGCCCCAACCGTAGAGAGCGGTTCGGGCAGGGCGCGTCTGAGGTGACAGGGGGCCGACTCTTCCTGCAATGCGCACATCATAAGCCACGGCAACATGGTGGGGCACCCCTCTCACAGGGACGGTGAAGGCCTGTTCGACCGACGCCCCCCTGGCCAGGCACCTCGTCGGAGCAGTTTTCCCCTCAATGGTGGTGGGGATGACCCGCGCCGCCGCCCAGTCCAGAGGCATCACGCTATCGTAGACGGGGCGCCAATTCAAGTCCCCCACAATCACCGCAGGAATTCCCGAGACACGTCCAGCCGCGGCGACGAGAGACGCCAACCAATCGTCATCCGCAGGGTGGGGCCCCCAGGCAACCGAAACCCGCATCACGTCAAAATTCCTCCCCACCGAACGCCAGGACAGCGAATCGCAATTCTTGTCGCCAAGGGTCCCCTTGCCAAGCCCGGGGCGCCAGAGCAGAAAACAACCCCCTTCCCTCCTTCCAGTCGCCGTCATCGGGGGAGCAGCAGACCACTGGCCACGCCAACCCGCCCGCTCAGCAAGCGCCGTGGCCCACCGAAAGCCACCTGGGGGGTGCCGGGTCTCTTGTAGGCACAAAAGATGCGCCTCCGATTCCCTGGCCGCGGCCAAGACCGCCTCGAGCCGGTCTCGCGTGAGCAGCGTGACGTTCAGGGTAAGGATCCGCACCTGCGAGGGGGGGTCAGCCCCCCTCGGGCCAAAAGCACGTCGTTTGTGGGACGTTCCGCTGCCTACCGCGCCCCCCGCCAAAGGGCGCGCCCGGGCCCCGCCTCCCAGGGGGCAGGAGGGGGGGCCCGGGCACGTCCCCCCAGCGAGGGGGGGGTTGGACGCGCAACGGCCCACGGCTGTTTGTCAAGAGGCCGCTGGCGCAGCTGCCGCTCTCGGCCTCTTGCGCCGGGCTTCACGGGACTTGTGGTGCTCAACCTCCAGGGGGGCCTCAGCGTGTGCGGCCTGTCGCCACGCTTCGATCGTGACGGCCTCGCGCCGGGACCTGCAAGGGTATTTTCGGAAGGCGGCCAACGGCGCGCTCCTATCACATGTCTGGCATTTATAACAATTTGCTCGGTTCGCCACCCTGTGAATGACCCCCGTGTCCGGGTTGCAAGCTGAGCTGGCCAGTTCCTCCGAAAGCTGGCCCCTCCACTCCCAAAAGAAATCGACATGGGTGCCGCGCCTCCGCTCCCCCGTTTGCAGGTGGACGTGCGCTTGGTGCCGAGATCTTTCTTCAGGCGTCCAAGGTCTGCCCAGAGTGGGAGCTGGCACGCCTTGGCACTCTTTCCAGTGGCGGTCCGCCGCTTGCCGTTGACGGTGCGCGAGGCCCCGCCCGACTCCTTTAGGCGGTCGCCATCCGCACGCCGGACACCAATATTGGGCTCCCAAATCAGTCGGGTCGAAAGTCGGCCGGGGAAGGGGCGGCGCAGGCGGAGGAGGAGGGTCCGCCGGATCTTCGAAATTCCCCAGAGAGCGGCACGGCCCCCCCTCGAGACTTGGCGCTCTGACACAAAACGAGGAATCAGGCCAACCCCGCCCGCCGAGCAAAGCCACCAAGGATGGGCTGAACTCAACCCGTCTCGTCGGGGTGGCCTGCCCCCCTTGCGACCCCTCCAGCGCTGGTTCACTCGGGCCCGCACCGCTTCGGGCGCAGCTCTGCGATTGGGCCGGGGTAGCCAAAACCCCGCTCCCCGCCGACGCACCTTGGCTCAAGCCTGGGGCCGTGGCCGTGTTGGGCAAATCGTAACGACCCCCGCGCCTCGCCGAGGCACTGTCCGAGCTCGCCCCTGGAGTGCCCCCCAAGAGTTCCCGCACCGAGGCCGAGACGCGGATCGGAGTGGAAGGGCCCGCCGCCGAACGCCGCCCGCCTCCGTCCAGGCTGCCGCGCCCGTCCGTGGCACCCGTCCTGCCTTCAACCTTGTGCACCTTCGCATGGTTTCCGTCCCGCGCGGGGGAAGAAGAAGCAGGATGTTTTTGCGCAAGCTCCCGGGGCGACTCCATCTCCTCATCTCTCCCCCCCGGAGGATCGGCCGAAGTGTCAGCCAACAAGGACGAGTTCTTCCCGTCTTCTGGCTCCAGCACCATGGCCCCCCTCTCCCAGGCTTTGACGGGGGGGTCGGCCTTCTTCTTAGGACGGAGCAGACGGTAATGCTGGCTTTTCAACTCCAACCACACCACGGCTTTGGGCTTCCCTCTGGGACGCACCACGTACAACTGCCACCACGGCGGTTGGTCCCCTCCAGCATGGTGGTCATGCGCCCACACGCGGATCTCCACCTGCCTGTTAATGGCCAGGGCCCTCAAAGAAGTTTCGTCCCCCCACTCCCCGGCCGTGAGGATGCGGCTTTTGACACTTTCCACTCGTGGGGGGCGCACCCCCACCGCCTTGGGGTTAGCGGCGATGGTCTCGGCGGCCCAGGCCCGCAGGCACGCCTGGACCTCCCCCTTCGGACCCGCCTTGTCGGCTGGAGGGGGGCGCCCCCCAAACTCCAAGGCCAGGCCATGGCCGAGAGCTAAATACAGACAGTCTCCTTGCCCCCCACACTCCAGGGTGTCGAAATGTTCGTGGAAAGGAGGGGCTCGAAGGTTCGGCTGGGTCACGGGTCCCCCCGAGGGCGGGCCAGTCCCCCCTTCGGCAGCTGGCTGCGCGGTAGGCGGCTTGCTGGCCGTGTTCTCCGATCCTGGGGTCACAACGAACCCGGACAACCTTCGGCGGGAAGTTGTCAGGGGCGTCTGCGGCAACCCCCCAACATGGTTTCCCTTGCTGCAACGGGGCCTCCCGCTTGGGAGCCCGGATGGCCGCAGGCGCCACCGTGACGCCAGACGAATACGACACCCCCCAGCCAGCCTGGCGAGTCGCCCTCCGAAGCCGGCGCTTCCGCCCGGAAGAGCCACGTTCGGGCCCCTCTTCGCAAAACGCCCGAAACACGAGAAGCCCCCCTATCTATCAACCACGTGGTCAGCTCGGCCGCGGTCCACCATTGAGGGGCTTCCGACAAACACCACCGCGGCGCCTGCACCGCAGCCGCCAGAGAGTTGATAGGGGCACCCCCTTCTATACCCAAGTTAGACCGCCCCCCAGCCCGGTAGATCAGCCTGCCGTTCGCTTCCCTGACCGCCGCAGCAACCGA